TACTACTACTACTACTACTACTGCTACTGCTGCTACTGCCACTACTGCCACTGCTACTGCTCCTACTACTACTATTACTACTACTACTACTACTACTACTACTACTACTACTACTACTTACTACTACTACTACTACTACTACTACTACTACTACTACTACTACTACTACTACTACTACTACTACTACTACTACTACTACTACTACTACTACTACTACTACTACTACTACTACTACTACTACTACTACTACTACTACTACTACCACTACTGCTACTGCTGCTGCTCTCTGGGATCGTCCACCTCCTCCTCCTGGAGACGGAGGGGGTCGGCACCGAGCTCGAGTAGGTGGACATCGCTGACAGCGCGTAGAACGCCGCGAACGCCAGGGAGCCAGCCTTGCGGCCGTAAGAGTCCACGAAGCGCCCCGTCTGCGGCGATGAGGGGGGGAAAGGTCATTGCACCGACCTTGCACACCATGCCTGGATGCTCTGTCAATGCGAAACGCCGATACGGCAAGCGAAAAGCAAAGTGAACTTCACGCGGATTTGTTGTAGTCTTGAGTCCTGCCCCCCCCCCCCCAAAAAAAAAAACGCACGAAATTCGTTTCGAAATCCAGAACGGAGATCTCCAGGCCAATCCAGACCCGAACCACGCTCTGCGATTGTGGCGCTATGAAACAGGCGGGGAGGGGCGCTGAGCAGCACGCGGGAGGAAACGCCGTCTTTCCCTCGCCGAGTCCCTAATTGCTGGTCCCGGGTGTTTGCTTCCCGGTTCCCGGCTCCTGGTGCCCAGCTCCCAGACTCCCAGTTCCCGGGTCGCGGGTTTTCCGGCCCCTGGCTCCCCCTTCCCTGCTCCCGGCTCACACTACATCAGGCGGGCGCGGAAAAAGGCAACTAGAGGCAGCAGCAAACCAGGCAGGCCGAGACCGAGCGCGGGCGGCGGACGGACAGCGAGAATGGCCAGGCCACTTACCACAGCTCAGCTCAGAAGCCGAAGATCACGAGCCCGAGCACACCGGGGACCTCGACCTCCTCGAAGAGACACGCCGCGTCTCCGTCAAAGCCTAAGCCAATGCGGGAGAACAGCGCAGCCGGCGTCAACCACTGTACAACCTGGTGGGGATATTTTTGTCGGTCGCGGCCGCAAGCGAAGAGGCAGGCGGCGGGCAGGGCTGGTGGGGATACGCGAAGCGTGAAGAATTGAACAGAGTCATTGAACCAGGTCTGCCGTAGCTGGTGTGTTTCGGGTGCGGCAGTTCCGGTTAGTGGGCTTCAGGGGAAGGGGGCCTGGCGGCCCCGAGTGCAGTTGGTGCACTGAGGAAGCGTGCCGTCATCCCTCTCTCATGGCAGGGCATCCATCGGAAATCCAGGGTCAACCCACATGTGATAAGCAAAGCTACGACAACGGCCACGGTCGAGTCAGCAGCAGGAAACGAAGTGGACGGCACGGGGCATCCAGAATGCCACGAGCGGACGGAGGAGGCGACCCTACGGAAGAGAGAGGGAGAGAGAGAGAGAGAGAGAGAGAGCAAAGAAGCGACCATCAACATGCTACGACGACACAGCTCTGGGAGCCTTGGAGAAAATGGAATCAACAGAGAGCCACCTGGGACAACACCTGGGAATACTCAATATGGAGGACGGCCTGAAAGGAAGGATGATGACACATACTGGATGGCAGGCGATGAGTATCATAACGCCTTCGGGGAGAAGCGTAGTTTGTTCGAGAACTCGGACGCAGGTTCAGATAGATCACCAGGCATCGGTACGCCCGAGCACGTGAGAAACACGGTCGAGGTACTCACAAGCCGAGGACACGACGCAAGATCCGATACAGAGCATCCGCGGGGAGGACGACGAGGAAAGGATCCGCAATGCCCGTCCTGTGACGGCAAAGAACTAAGCAAGTGACCAGGGAAGCGCCTAGCGATCGACCGATGGAGCGGATTGACGGCAGTACCACCTGACGAGCACGGAGGGGCACTGCCCCTGCATCTCACCAAGGAGGCAGCGACGCTGTGCTGGTCGGGGGAAGCGCATGCGAACACCGCCACTGGTGCCTCCGGTGGAGCTCCCTATGATGGGGCCACGGAGCGCTGTACTTGGTGGGGGAAACGCACACCGCCACTGGGGCCTTCGGTGGAGCTCCCTATAGGGCCACGAAACGTGTGAGGGGTGTGCTGGCATGAGTGGCGCGGAAGGATGTGGTCACCACCACTGGGGCCTTCCGTGGAGCTCCCCATGTGGCCACGAAACGTGTGAGGGGTGGCCCGACTTGGGTGGCGCGGACGCATGCGGGCACCGCCGCTGGGGCCTTCGGTGGAGCTCCACATGGGGCCACGAAACGTAAGGGTTCGCCGAAATTAGTGACGCGCACGCATATGGACACCACCACTGGGGCCGTCGGTGGAGTTTCCTGTGGGGCCGCGAATCGCGTGAGTACCGCTATGGGTAGCGCGGACGCATGTGGACACACCCACCGGGGCTTTCGGTGGAGCTCCCTACGGGACCACGAAGCGTGTGCGGGGTGTGCCAGCTTGGGTGGCGCGGACGGCATGTGGTCACCGCCACTGAGGCCTTCGGTGGAGCCCTCTATGAGCAACGAAACGTGTGATGGGTATACCGACATGGGTGGCATGGACGCATGTGGACACCGCCACTGGGGCCTTCGGTGGAGCTCCGTTTGGAGCCACGAATCTATCGGGGTGGCGCGGACGCATGCGGGCGCTGCCACTGGGGCCTCCGGTAGAGTTCCCTGTGGGATGACGCTCCTAATGGGGCCACGAAACGTGTGAAGGTTATGCAGAAATGAGTGGCGCGGACGCAAGTGGACACCGCACTGGGGCCTTCGGTGGAGCTCCCTATGGGGCCACGGGCCGCGTGAGGGGTGTGCAGACATGAATGGCGCGGACGCATGTGGGCATCGCCACTGGGGCCTTCGGTGGAGCTCCGTATGTGGACACGAAACGTGTGAGCGGTTTGCTGACAAGGGTGGCGCGGACGCATGAGGACACACCCAATGGGGCCTTCGGTAGAGCTATGGGGCCACGAAACGTGTGAACGGTTGTGCCGAAGTGGGTGGCGCGGACACTCGTGGACCTGCCACTAAGGCTTTCGGGGCTCCCTACGGGGCCACGAACCGCGTGAGGGGTGCTGGGGCCACGAAACGTGTAAGTGGTGTGCTGGAATGGGTGGCGCGGACGCATGAGCACATCGCCACTGGGGCCTTCGTTGGAGCTCCCTATGGGGCCACTAAACGTGTGAGGGTGTGCCGACATGGGAGGAGGGAGGAGGGGAAGGAGGAAGGAAGGAGTGAACGCGGGGCGCTGTCTCCTCAAAACGAAGATCCAACAACACAGGATGGTTGGGAAAAAATTGAAGCCGACTAAAGAATTCAGCAAGTTGCCGAGTACTGTCCAGCTTGGGCAGATTCATGTTAGTAGGCATTGGTTTATGATGATCTGGAATATCGTGTATGTCTTCGGGTAGTGGTCCCAGATCACCAGGATTGACTTCGGGAAACTACACCTCCTTGTCGTCATGGCTGTGATGTCCGTCAAGCAATGTTGTACTAGTAGCCGGCCGGCCGAGGGAAGGGAGGCCGGGCGCGCGCGAGGGCCCTTTTCAACCTCACAGCGCGAAACGATCAAAGTATGTTAATATGCTTAAGCCATCCCTCTGTCGGAGGGGACAGGCGGCGCAGCACAAGGGGGCGAGGGGAGCGTCAACAATGACTGATTCGTTGGGTTGGGGTCCCAGGAATAGTTCTCCTGCAAGAGTTAGACCTGCCAGGGCGCAAGAATTACGTTGACTCGCGGTGCTGAAGTTCCTGAACTTCCAGACTTAGGCTTGTCAGGACGCAACAGTCACGCTGATCCGCGGCGCTGGTGTGCAAAAGATTTGTGTGCTTGGCATGCTTGATGATTATCAGGAGGCTGGCTTCTGCTGGGCCATCTCCCGCAAAAGGAAAATATTACTGTGTGGACCTATGAAGACGTACATTGGGGGAAGGGCGTCTGGCAACCATTCTTGATGCGTCTTGAGCTTACGATGGTCCTCCTCCCTCTGCTCCATTTCCTCCCCCTCGGCCTCTTCAGTTCGTTTCTCCGTCCACCCTCCACTCCTCCTCCTCCTCCCGCTCTTCTCCTCCTCCTCATCCTCCTCGTCAGTCATCATCATCATCATCATCATCATCATCATCATCATCATCATCATCATCATCAGCATCATCATCATCATCAGCAGCAGCAGCAGCATCAGCAGCAGCATCATCACCATCATCATCAGCCGCAGCATCATCATCCTCATCCTCATCATCATCATCAGCAGCAGCAGCAACAGCATCGTCATCATCGCCATCGTCAGCTGCAGCAGCAGCAGCACCATCATCATTATCATCATCAGCAGCATCATCAGCATCATGAGCAGCATCACCATCACCATCACCATCACCATCACCACCATCATCAGAAGCAGCATCAACATCATCATCATCAGCAGCAGCAGCATCATCATCACCATCATCATCATATTCCTGCTCCTCCTCCTCATCATCCTCCTCCCCCTCCTCCTCCTCCTCCTCCTCGTCCTCCTCCTCCTCCTCCTCCTCTCCTCCTCCTCCTCCTCCTCCTCCTCCTCCTCCTCCTCCTCCTCCTCCTCCTCCTCCTCCTCCTCCTCCTCCTCCTCCTCCTCCTCCTCCTCCTCCTCCTCCTCCTCCTCCTCCTCCTCCTCTCCCTCAGTGTCATCTAGCTCCTCCTCCTCCTCCTCCTCATGCCCCTTCTCCGACCCCCCCCCCGTCCTCCGAGTGCGGCGGAGGAGGGCCCGCCGGAGCCCCCATCGGGGGTGCCTGGGCGCTCAGGAGGCCCGAGGTGAGGAAACCCGTGAGGAACAGCCGCGCGATAAAGTCCGCGGACACGGTCTCGCCTCGGGTAGCGCATCTGTTTTTTAAACTACGGCTGGGCGGCGATAATTGGGGGAGCGCTGAAGGGGGGGGCAGCGAGGGCTGCCGAAAAGAAAGGAGCCCCCCAAAAGGGGCCCTTTCGGGCCCAGAAAACGACTTGTGGGACCAGCAAAGGGCACCCTTCTCTCCCCCCCACCCCTTCGGCGCCCCCCATGAATTCGCACCCAATTCGGCGATACTCCGGGTTATCCAATGAAAAAGGAGGGAGGTGCCGGCCGATGACCTCAGCTTTTCGCTCTGGGCAGCCTCACATATGCCCGCGCGCACCAGCACTGCGCACCCCCTTCGGACCCATGCACCCGACAAAGTCAGGTCATCCAGCGGGAGGCAAGTGAGGGGGGGGGGGGGGGGCGGACCCGAGAACCTGGGTTATCGCTGGACCCTGAAAAAAAACGCCCTCTTGGCGGCGACATCCGAACCCTACTCCAGATTTCGTAACAAAAGGGAGGGGGTCTGGACCCTCCAAGACAAGCCGTTTCAGACCCCCCCCCCGTGGGAGAACCCTCCAAAACATCGTCCCCAGACCCCCCCAGGCCCTCCAAGATAGCCTGGAAGAGACCCCCCCCCCGAAATGAGACCCCCCTCCCTTTATTACGAAATCTGGAGTACCCCCTTGAATCGACGGTTTGGTTGGAGGGCGGCAGCAGCGAGACGGCTGGGCGGGAGGAGGACGGCGAGGAAGGAGGGGAAAAAGGTGACCAGGGCAGGACTGGGAAGGCGGGCCCGAGGAGGGGAGGGTGGGGGATGGGGGATGAGGGGGAGGACGGCGACACGAGGATGAGCAGGGTGGCGAGGAAGAGGAGGAGGAATAGGAGGAAAAGGACGAGGAAGAGGAGGAGGGAAAGGAGGAGTAGGATCAAAAAGGGCAAGGGGGGCGGGTGTGGGGAGCCTCGGGCACTTGGTGTGGAGAGCGCGGAGAAGAACGACGTGGAGAATGACAACGACGAAAACGACGACAACAATATCCGACGATGGGAGGGAGGAGAAGGCGGAGGACGGGCGAGGGAAGGAGGAAATGGAGGACGAGGAGCGAGCCACAAAAGCAACATCAGGAAAGAGAGCGACGAACACACATGCATCAAACATACGATGAAGGAGAAGAAGCAGGAGGAGGAGGCGGAGAAGGAAAGAAGAAGAAGAAGAAGAAAGATGCCTTCCTCCGTCCCTCCCCGGAGGTCTCCGGGGGCCCTCTGGAAGCCCCGAGAGGTCAAGGAGACCCCTGGAGCCGTCGAAGAGGCCCCGGGAGGCCCCGGGAGGCCTCGCGCTTCGGGCCTCTGCAGAGCTCCCCCTCCCCCACCGACTGAGCCAGAAGAAAAACAGCAGTCATAAACGCCAACCTCCTCCTCCTCCTCGTCCTCCTCCTCCTCCCCCTCCTCCTCGTCCTCCTCCTCCTCCTCGTCCTCCTCCTCCTCGTCCTCCAGCCGACGGCCATCGCGCTACCAAAATGACCACCAAATAAGGAACAAAGGGGCGCTTCTGACGGCGGCGAGCCCCAGCCACGAACAGGCCCCCGACCTGAGCAGCAGCCCGAAAACCACAGCCCCTGCGGAGCCCGAAGCGGTCCTCATTTTCAGCGCATTGACCGCAAGGGCCCAGCTCGGGTCCTAGAAGCCCGCGCGGCCTTCTGGACGTGTATGCCCACGCCCCTTCTCCTCCTCCGATCCCCCTGCTGGCTGAGGCGGCAACCAGTCCTCCCCCTCCTCTTGGGGGTGTCCGAGAGGAGAGTCCCAGAGCGGGGCTCCCATGTCGTGGCCCGTGGCATGTGTAGGGGCCTCCCATATGGGGTCCGAGTAGATGGGGTCGGAGGAACTCGCCGCATCGGCGACACATCGGCGATGCATCGGCGACGTCGGCGGTGCATCGGCGACGTCGGCGCGAAGAAAATCCGGCTCCGCATCGAGCCGCATCGGCGATGCTTCGGCGATGCGGCGCGATCCTCCGACCCCCTCTCCTCCGACCCCATCTATAGGGAACACACAGAGGACGTACGCGCCCAGCTATGTACATGAACACGGCCCCTTGACCCGCGAGACCTGCCGCGCGATACGAACATTCGCGCAATGCGAACTCTCGAAACCAGCGTGGGTTCATGTACATGTACGTCCTTCTTTCGCTCCTGAATCTAGGAGGCCTAGAATATGCGCCAACGTGTGGCTGAGGCGGCACCCGGGCCTCCCCCTCGCCCCGGGGGTGTCCAAGAGGGGGGCGCCCACGAGCGGGGCCTGCGGCCCGTGGCACGGGCGCGTCCGCGCGTGGCGTGTGGGCAGGACGGCCGTGGCATGTGGCAGGTGGGCCACAGGCCGTGGCCCGTGGCGTGGCCCGTGGCAGGTGCGCGGACGGGCGGAGGCCCAGGGGAGGAGCCGGATCAGGGAGGGGGGGGGCCCCCTCGGCCTGATTCCCCCCAAGGCCCACTTCCGCGGCCGGCTCGCCACCCACGCGCTTGCTCGCGTAGACGTCGTAGAAACCCGCAGGCCCCGGGCACGGGAGCAGAGGCGCGCCTGCTGCTGCTCCCCCACCCCAATTCTCACCCTCAACGAATCCCTCGTCCTCTTCCTCCTCCTCCTCCTCCTCCTCCTTCTCCTCCTGCTCATTATCCTCCTCGTCTCCTCCTCATCCTCCTCATCCTCATCCTCATCCTCATCCTCATCACCATCACCATCACCATCACCATCATCATCATCATCATCATCATCATCATCATCATCATCATCAGCATCATCATCATCATGATCAGCAGCAGCATCAGCATCAGCATCATCAGCATCAGCATCAGCATCATCATCATCATCATCGTCATCATCATCATCATCATCAGCAGCAGCATCATCATCATCATCAGCAGCAGCAGCATCATCATCATCAGCAGCAGCATCATCATCCTGCCTCTCTGCCTCAAGATCCTACTCCCCCATCTGCCTCCTCCTCCTCCTCCTCCTCCTCCTCCTCCTCCTCCTCCTACTCCTCCCCCTCCTGAACCTAGGTGCTGGCGGGGTCGGGAGCTCCACGGGCCTCACTCGCTGCACTTCTGGGTCAAGTTTTCCCTGGTCTTCTGTCTTTGATGCGGGAAGCCCGCTGCGACTGACCCCAAGCATCTCTTGGGTGCATACCAGGTGACAGTTTTGCCCCTTCCTCCCTCCTCCCTCCTCCCTCCTCCCTCCATCCAAGGGGGGGGCCGGGAGGGTAACAGTAACGGCGACCGCGGCGTGCACAGGGTGCGTCCGCGCCACCGGCGCATCAACCGCCTGTGTGCATCACAGCATGCAGGAGGGACTTCCAGGCGACCGCCCCCCACTACGATCGCTAGCGTTACCCGAGGGGGCTGGGCCCGGTAGCGAGCGTCAGCCCCAAGGGGCTCCAGAACCTGGCCACCACGAGAAGAAGTTGGTACCCCCCGTCGGGTCCGCCCCGTCATATCTGAGACGAAGTCTCTCCGACAGCTGCGAACATGAGCTCGAGAGCACGCTCCGTGTGAGCAATCCATCTTGCTTGATCCACTCTGACTCTCGCTGCCAGTCTTCCGGAACGCTCCCGTAAGGCTCCTCCCCCTCCCCCTCCTCCTCATCATCCTCATCCTCATCATCCCTCCTCCTTCCTCCCTATCCACCTCCGCCTCCTCTTCATCCTCCTCCTCCGTCTCCTCCTCCTCCTCCTCCTCCTCGACATCCACATCCTCATCGTCCTCCCCCTCCTCGTGCTCCTCTTCCGCCACAGTTGTTCTCGATGCTCTTCTCCCCGATCGTCCCCATCCTCACCCACCCCACCTCCCTCTTCTGTCTTCCCCTTCAGCCATCGCGCCAGTAGAAGGAACGCCGAATACAGAACGCAGAGGCTGAGTTGTCTATGGCGAGTCTCGGCCACAAGTAGGTTCCAAGACCTAAGTCTAAGGAGCGGCAGCAAAACCAGACCCATCCTGAGCCCCAAGTGGTCCTTGCGTCAACGCCTTGACTGTACCCCGTCCCCCCCCCCTCGGCTCCTCCTTTCCCCATTCTTCCTTCCTTCTTCCCTCTCCTCCCCCTTCCCTACTAGTCTGCATCAACCGCGTCCCTTGCACATGACCCCTTCTCTGACTCCCCAGATCGATATCCGAAGTCGTGTTTGTTTCGCAAAGAGGCTCTGGCCTCGTTCCTCCTCCTCCACCTCCCTGCTCCTCCTCCTTCCTGGCCCCTCCACCTCCACCTCCGTCTCCACCTCTTACCTCCTCATTGTCATCGCAATCGCCATCGTAGTCGTCGTCAGCAGCAACGGCAACAGCAACATCACCATCATCCTCATCCGCAACCTCATCCTCATGCTAATCCTCACATCCGTTCTCATCTTCATCGTCGTAATCATCATCAGCATCATCAGCATCATCAGCAGCAGCATCAGCAGCAGCATCAGCAGCAGCATACTATCGCTATCATCGCCAGCATCATCGGCGACATCAATAGCAGCATTACCATCACCAGCATCCGCAATCAGACATCAGCAGTAACAGCAACAGCATCGGCATCAACCGCAACAGCAACAGCATCAACCTCGCCCCCGTCATCATCATCATCATCATCATCATCATCATCATCATCATCATCATCATCATCACCATCATCATCATCATCATCATCATCATCATCATCATCAGCATCATCATCGTCATCAGCAGCAACAGCATCAGCAGCATGACCATCATCATCACCATCAGCATCTCAATATCATCAGCAGCAGCATCATAATCATAATCCGCATCATCATCAGCAGCAGCAGCATCAGCAGCGACACCGTCACCAGTATCAGCACCATCATCATCATATCAGCATCGTCATCATCATCAACATCATGATGATCAGCATCCTCACCAGCAGCATCAGCATCGTCATCACCACCATCACCAGCACCAGCACCATCACCATCGGCAATGTCCTCATCAGCAGCCGCATCAAGACCAGCAGCATGAGCATTACCATTATCAGCAGCATCAGCAGCAACATAATCACCATATTGTTCGGCATCATCAAAATAATCTTCATCCTCGTCATCATCCGCATCCCCGTACCCACGTCATCCTCCTCCGTCCCGTCCTCCCTTCTCCGCGGTGAGCGGGCGCTGCCGATAAGCGCGCTCGATAGGGGCCCTGGAGCCAGTCAGCCATCTTGAACATCCTGGTTCGTACCCAAATCAAGCAGGAAGACGAGAAGGAAAAGTGGGCCTGGTTTTGAAGCCAGAACTCCAAGCTCTAACGTCGCAGACTGCAGTCTGGTTACATGAGATGGATTGAGGAAGCAGGCTGCGGTGCCATGGGGGGGGGGGGGGCACACGCCAACACGCACGCACACACTGACACGGACACAGACACAGAAACTGACTGGAAACACACACACATACACCAAAAAAGAAGGCACAGACACAGACACAGGCGCTAACATCCACACATGCACCCACACATACACACACACACACACACACCAACGCGCGCGCGCACGCACGCACGCACGTACGCACATGCGCGCGCACGAAGTGCGATTGTACAGAAATCCTGAGCAATGCGAGAACACCTCACGAGACCCTCAAGCCATACATCGTACTTCAGGTGGTGACGGCTACGGCTCATAAAAACCGTCGTCGTCATCCCCCGTCTCCCTCCTCCTTCGCCTCCTCCGACTTCTCATCCTCGTCATCATGAACCTCCTTCTTCTCCTCCTCCTCCACCCCTTGCTCTTCTACCTCAAAACCTCTTCCGCCTCGTCCTCTTCTTCTTCGTCCCCGTGCAACCTTACGACTACGACAATAATCATGATCCTGCACCCCGCGTCCTACCCCCGAGACCCCAAGACCCTGACACCCTCGCCCTCCTCCCCCCGTAAGACGTCAAGAGTATGCTGCTCCTCGTCGTCCTCCCCTGTCCTCCGCACCCTCCCACCACTCCTGGCACTGTGGATGGCAGAAGCGGCCGACGCGTCCAGAAGACGCCCAGGAACCGCCACCGAAGGCTGGACATCTTGGGCGGCATCGCCTCTGGGAGGGAGGGAGGAGGAACGGGAGGAGCAGAAGGGGGAGAGGGAACCGAGGGTGCAGCAGCGAGGAGGGGATGGGGGGGGGGAAAGCAGGAGGGGAGCAGGAGGAAACATGAAGGAGGAAGCGGAGGGACGAGGAGGAGGACGAGGCGTGGAAAAGAGAAGAAGCAGTGGTCCTGGACTGAGGTGTTCTGAAACGTTCTGGAGGGCTCCAGATAGGGAGAGGGACCACCTGACCTCCCCGTGGCTCCTCGATTCTACCCGACCCCCCGTCCCCTCAAAGCAGCCAAAATCCGTGCCACACAGCAACTTGAGAAAATGGAGCTCCGATACAGCGCATCCTTAGCAAGAGCGCGGGTCAAGCCTGCCGCCTGGAACGAGAAAACGGCCCTGGCCACTCAGCGGGTCAAACTTACCAACTCGATCGAACTAACGGCCCCGACCACTCGAACCCGCCCTGCTGGAAATCAATGCCTGCACGCTCTCACCAAGCGCACTGGAGGCTTTCACGCGCGCGCACGGCCCCGCTTTCTGACGAGATGAAGAAGGACCACCATGGACCACGCACAGGCGGAGGCAGATCTCTCAGAGAACCCCCGCCCAGTGTTGAGGCAACAGCACCATCGATCTCCACCGTGCGCAGACGAGTATCCAACGGGGCTGGCGCGGGCAAGACGCCGCCGCCCAAGCAGGAGCGCAAGTTGCAGGTAACATCTGCGAATGCGAGGGCGACAATCCGCCCTTTCGAGGCGGCCCCGCTGCGCAGGACCAGGCGAGCGAAGAACGGTGCGCGAAGAGCGGTGCGCCGCTTGTGCAACGAAACGGCGCGCGACAAGTGTGCGCGGTGCCCGCGTCGGAACGTAATTCTTGGAGACTCCCTCAGCCCTCTGGGCGTAGGTTGTCCAGGGTTCCAGCTCGTCCAAGCCCCTTTCTTCTCCATCGTAAGAGGGCTTACTCCTCCTCCTACCCCTTTTCCCCTGTGTCTGGACGGGAAAAAAACGGAGGGGCTCTAGAATCGATGCGCGCTACTAATGGCAAGAATATGCTCCCAGGTAGCCCAAGATGGCCCCCAAGATTGCACAACATACCCAAGATGGTTCAATATGGCCTCCGACATGCTTGCGAGATCACACGGCCGGGGCAAGTCGACTCGAGGTGGCCAGAGAGCCCCCCACGAATGCCCCCACGAGGCCAACCACTCAAAAGATGATCCCAGCAAGGCACCCTAACAGCAGGATGCCCACTCAGCCCATGCGATGTGTTAATTGTCTGCTTGTCCATGCCCATGCGATGAAGTGCAGCTTCATCCAAGCGAAGTTGCGTAGCAGCAGCTGCGTTGTCGCCGACCTCCACAGAGACAGTGGGGACAGAGCCACAAGACACGATCCTTTCGTCGCCCAACATTGCGCAATATGTGGTCAGCATGTCGTTAACCCATAAGTCTGATACCACATCCAATGAAGTTGAAGTTCATCGCATGGGCTGAGAGGTTCCTGATAGAGGCCCCCGACGGGCTTCTGATAGGCTCCTGAAAGGCTCTTGGGTTGCTCCTGAGAGGTTCCTGAGGGGCTCTTGAGAGGCTACTGGGATCTCCTGGGAGGCTCCTGTCCTGACATGCGCCGCCTAAGCAGCATTGTATTCAAGAAGGCAACCAAATGTGGCAGCGCGGCCACAGCGCGCCGGCACCGCGACTGCGATACCCATGGGCTGGGCGAGATCTTGAACTGCTTGAATACTACTAGAAACGTAAGCGAAATGGTGTTCGGGAATCGCGTTAACTCACGCCCTGGGGGAGTTCACCTATGCGCATCTGGGAAGCTTCCGATTCCTAAAAGTGGCCCGAATAACGCCCAAGAGGGCCCAGGAGAGAATCCCACCAGCCATCTGGGCGACAGGTGGTCTAACGATATTCTCTCTTTCCTCTTCCAAAAACCCCTCTTCCCCTTCGGGGAGGGCGCCCCGCGATGTGTCAGAGGGTCTTTTTGTTCGTACAAGGTGGTTCCGAGAGGGCCTCAGAGAGCCCAAGATGGCCTCCAAGATCGCCCAAGATAGCCCAACATGGCTGAAGACAGCTTCCGACATGCCTTCAAGGCGCCCAAAGAGGGCCACAAGACGGTTCCAGGTGCTCTTGGAGACCCCTCGGGACCCCTCCAAGAGCCGAAAATCATTCAAAAACCTAAGGACAATCAATGATTGTTGCCTTCTCGCCTTTTCGCTTCCGATGCGCTTTTGAAGCCTCAACATGGCCCCAAGACTGGGTAGTCGAAGCCAATCTGGCGCCAATCTGGCAGGCCCAATCTGGCAAACGGGGGCAATCTGGCGAGGGAGCCAGCGCGAATCCAGTCTGGCGAATAACCCAAATCATCCAGTTTGGCCGGGCCAGATTGGCCCTTGGGGCCCAATCCAATCTGACAGTCTGGCCTTCGACTACCCAGCAAGATGGCCCAAGAAAGCTCCCAGATGGGGTTCGAAAAGGCCCCCAACAAAACGGCCCCAGGAGCGCCCAGGGTCGCCCGAAAAGCGCCCGCCCCAGGAGGCGAGTTTGATGGCCCCGGAGGGGGGGGGAAATCGAGGACAACCCCCTTCTTTGATCGATGGCCTCGAAGATGGCCCCAAGAGGCGTTCCAGGGCTCCCAAACGAGCCCCAAGACAGCCCTCTTGGACCCCAAGAGGGTCCCAAGAGGGCCCCAAGACGGCCCAAAGAGGCCCCCGAGCGGCCTCAAAAAACCCAAAATGACCTTTTTAAGATGGCTCAGATAGCCCAAGCTGGCTCAAGATGGCTCCAAATATGCCCCAAACGGCCGCAAGACCGCTCCAAGAGCGCCGAGCAGCGCTCCAGGAGAGCCCCAAGAAGCGGTTCGCGGGTTTCTGACGGGGGGGAGCTGAGTTGGTCACCCCCCCCCAACCTGTAATCGATGGCCGCCAAGATGATCCAAAGAGGGTTCCAAGAGGGCCCCCAAAACTCCCAGAGAGCACCAGCAGCAGCAGCAAGAACACCTCTACATGGTTCCATGAGTCCTCGTCCGCGTCGTCCTCATCCTACCCCTCGTCCTCGTAATCCTCATCCTCATCCGCGTCCTCGTCCTCCAATCCCTCCTCGTCCACAACCTCCTCTTGCTCATCCTCCTCCCCTTCCCCCTCGCCCCCACGCGGCCCCAAGGGATGGCCCGAAGAGGCCTTCCAAGACCACCCCCTTGTTCCTAAAGATCTGTCGGTTCACCCTGGTTGCTCGCTGTGTTTCCCTAGATGTGCCTCTTCGTCCCCTTTCCCGTCAACTCTCACAGGCAGTATTTCTAAATGGGTTTGTGGGGGTATTTTTGTTGGTCAGCGGCCTCATGGAGCGGATCAAAAGGCGTCCAAACTCCAACCGGGCCACGACTAGGCAGCAGAAGAGCGGAGAGCGGAAAAGCAGGACAGGCGCAAAGAGGGGCCAGCGAAACGAGCGCGCGGGGTGCCATTCAGAAGAACACCAAGAGCGGCACTCCTAACCCGGTGGCGTGGAAGTCCCGGTGGCGACTACCAGGTAAGCGCAGCCAAAATGGCGCGGCGGCGCGACCATGTACACGCAGAGGTCCATCACCCGTTGTGAGTCGGCATAGGGCCCGACGAAAACGAGCAGGTCCGACAGGCACTTCAGGGCGACATCCGTGCCGTAGGTGACACGACAGCATCGTGTCGGCGCTGGATGAAGAGGGGGCAGCCTCGTCACAGACAGGACTGCAAACGGAAGATCCTTTGGCATGTACACCCGGTGGCACAGGTCGAAAGCGAAGTCCATGAAGGAGAAAGCAGCCGACGGGCGCCCAGAGCCACACATGCCGAAATCCTTGCACCGTAAAGGACGGCACCGTAGCAAGTCCCCACGGAATCCAAGCGGTCACCAGTGGAGGATAACACCAAGCAGGAGCAGGCCAGGGGCCACGAGGCCGCCCATCCCCAGCGTGGTCACGCATGGAATTCGAAGCGAGACCTCACGGAACCATCCCAGTCGCCAGCGGAGGCCGACACCAGACAGGAGCAGGTCTAGGGCCACCTGGCCGTCAGTTCCCAGGGCGAACCACGCGTGCAATTCAGGCTGTCAGAGCACCAACGGACAGCAGTATTGGCGGCGACCCCAGCCGCGTGGGATAAACCCAATGGAACGAGGGAGATGAAGGGAAGTGCACGCCAGGCACGGTAGGCAACCCGTAGTGGCAGCTAACCGCTACGGCAATAGGAAGCGGGAGACACGAGCATCGGAACCCACTGAACCCTTTCGGCCATCAGCAGGGGGGGGGTTGGCGCCGGCTGAAGGCAGCCAGGAGGCACTGCACCACCCGGCCCCGATTAACACATGATCCCAGCGACGCAGGAGAGGGAGAGTCAATTGGAGGAGAGCCCACCATAACCCGGCATTCACTGACGCGCGCGCCAGGCGCTCGGCACCGAATACATGATCACAGCGACGCAAGAGGGGGAGAGTCAGCTAACCGCTGAAGCAAAAGGAGAAGAAGGAGGAGAGCTCACCATAAGCCTGCGTACGCTGACGCGCACGCCAGGCGCTCGGCATCGAAGCTTACTTCAGTAAACCCGCCACGGGGACCAGTTTGCCATTGCTCTCCACACAAAGTCCTGGGCAAAGCTGGGCTCTTTCGGCCGCGAAGTAGCGTGCAGTCGCGGATGATGAAGTCCTCCATTGAGCTAGCACACCATCCCATATGCGCCAGCGGGCGTAGGCAATGAAAGCTTTTGTTTAGCCACGCGCTAGTTACTGCAAGAGCCCTCACGGAGGGGCAGCCGACGAAGCATTCCGGGCGCTCTTCAATGGGGCGCTTGGAAGGGGCGATCACGGTGGGCTGCCAGTCCGACGCCAGCATTGAGCCGCAGTGACTGCGAAGGAGGCAGAAGAGGAGGGAGAGCAGGGGAACGCGGCCCACCGCCGCAAGCACACGAGAGCGAGTCAGCAGCGCAGTCGCCTGGCGCACTGCATACCCGGCGTGATGAACGAGCCGTATCTCGT